GTATTCATTAAATCTCTTATTGCAAACAAGGAGCAAATATGTTTTAGAATATGCTATAAAATTTCAAATATATTTTTTTTAATTAATATATTTTTTTCAAAAAATTTTTATCCAAACATTTGTGTGAAAAAAAAAATTGTATAACATTTTGGTTTTTAAATACATAAGAACATATGTCTGTACATACAAGTAATAAATATTTTTAAATTATGAAATCGACAGTCAATTTATTTATAGTTATTTTTTTTTTTTTTTGTTTGAAATATGACACCATTGAATTTTCAGGCTTTGAAATGAAAAAAAATCGCTGAACACACAATACAACTGAGTAAGCTAGTAAACTACTTATATGCATACGTTTAATAAATAAATATACATATGTGCATATATTTAAGTATAAATATATAAATTTATATGAACAATGATTTCTTTTGAAAATTTCCATAAATTGTTTTTTCTTATTTTTTAGTGCTTAAAGGTATACATTGTGAGCGCTTAAGTACTTACATGTTTACACATATATGTATGTATATATGTAATATGGTCAAGGCATTGAGTGCCATGATATTGCAATAAATAAACAACAATCGAAATAAACCATTTAAGTGACTAAGTTTAAATGTCATTCCAAGAATGCGACAAGTGTTTAGTTTCTGGCGTACATACGTATATACATAAATGCATACATATCTATATCTGATTTCATGCAAAGTGGGTGATTTATAAAAGTAAATACTTATGTGAGAAAATCAGTTGTTTTCGATTATAAAAATTACTTAAAGTGTATTTACATGAGATTTTGTGGGCTTAAAAGCACAACTGTTAAGTCAGCAGTCTCCCTTAGAACCCAAAAGAAGCAATTTTTTTGAAAGGGATAGAAATTATGGTTGTAAACGAGATTTGAAGAAAATAATGTACTATATTTACGCTTCAACGAACAACTTTTATTATTAAGAACCATAGGAACGTTCTAATGTTGTGAGAATTCGCGAAAACGCGCTTCAAATTTCTGCGCGAGCATTCGAACATTCACGATGTTCGGCCGCTCAAACCGCTCTAGCTTCAAAAACATGTCGAATTGGACATTGAAATTTCGATGGCATATTCTTGAATAGTTTTAAGAAAATATTGATTTTTTGAAAAATTATTTTCAAATTCAAAAAACATGGCCAAATGATGTTTTCGAATCTTCCTTTACTTTTCTTATATGTCCTTTGTTTTTTATTTTCTGTTTTATTTTTTTATTTATTTTTATTTATTTTTATTTTTTTATTTTTTTTTAATTTTTTTTTAAATTTTTAAATATTTTTTTAATTTTTTTTTAATTTTTTTGTTTCTTTAGTTTTTTTATATTTTTTTAATTTTTTTTTTAATTTTTTTTTTTATTTTTTTTTATTTTTTTTTTTATTTTTTTTTATATTTTTATTTATTGTTTATTTTTTTTTATATTTTTATTTATTGTTTATTTTTTTTATTATCTTTTTTTTAATTTTTTTTTATTATTTTTTTTACTTTTTTTTTATATTTTTATTTATTGTTTATTTTTTTTATTATCTTTTTTTATTATTTTTTTTTTATTATTTTTTTTATTATCTTTTTTTATTATTTTTTTTTTATTATTNTGGTAAAAATTGTTTACTTCACACATACACATACAGTTATTTATAACTATTCATCTTACTACTTTTTTTTTTATTAATTTTTGTTTATTAAATTAATGATTTTTCTTGTTTTTTTTTTTTTTTGTTTCATATGAATCTTGTTAGCTTTTATTTTTCAGTTTTTTTTATTCATTACATTTTGAGTATTAATTGAACCAAAATTAAAATATATTTTAAAATTATTTTAAAAAATGTCTCATAATAAATATATGTATTTTATTGTAGAATATATTGGTTTTGCAATCAACAATCTCTATCTCTATTTTTCAATCTCAATTTTCTGTTATTAGAATTCGTATTACCAAAGAGAATTTAAACGAAAAAAATATGAGTTCTCGCTTAGTTTAAATAATTGTCTTATTGTCCCAATTCTTTTTTTTTTTTTGGTTTTTTGTTATCGCAAGCAATTTCGTTTTTATTGTTAAATTACTTCATTTCAAGTGCTCAATAAAATTTATTTTTCAATGTTTGTTATTTATGTTCGTTTATTGTTTATTTGTTAGCCAACTCAATTAGTGAAACAAGTCAGTTGACTATGCTGTAATGTATATATATATATATATATATATACATACATGGTGCTCCATCTTTTTTGTCGGTATTTAAACGCGGAATAACTTTTACATTTACTAACCAATCGGTTGCATCAGATATGTTTTCAATTTAGTATAATTTTTTTCATGAATATCACGGCACCATCTGACAGAGCCCCTGATTTAACCCCCGGAACCTCTTTTTTCCTTGTTGGATTATCTGAAATGCAAGGTTTACAACCAACCATCCTCAGACTACAGAGGACCTAAAGGCAAATATTCGTGCTGAAAGCGACGCTATAACACCCGAGATGGTCGAAAAAGTAATGGCAAACACAGAAAAAAGGAGTTAAGATAGCCACTTGATTGATATTGTTTTCAAAAAGTAGTTCAAAAAAATAGTAAAGAACCAAGTTGAATAAAAATATATCAATTATAGAAATCGGGTGGTTTGTTCTCATAGTTATTCAATGTTTACAAACCGACACAAGAGATGGAGCACCCTGTTTACTCATATACATGTATTTCGTAGCTTTGTTGTTGCATTTATTTCATTTTTTCATTGTGTGAGACACACCTCTATTTAGCTTTGACAAATATGAATTGTGTTAACAACAATTAAGTGTCTGAAATGCTAGACAAAAATTTACTGCATGTCAAATAGCTGTTATTGTGATAACTATATTTATACTATATATACATAAGAGTTTAGTATTTAAAATGAAAATAAAAGAACTGCACAACTCACACTGTGGATAGGTCAGTTTAAGGTGTGTGTGGGTCTTATCAGCGAAAGTAAATAAATAACTCAATAAGATTTTTTATTGAAAAAAACAAAAAAAAAATTACTCCGTGCTTAAGGAAGAATAAGCATTCTTAAGCAAAGCTGCCGTTATTCTTTTATTTTAATTTATATTAATTTGAAAACCATTTCTGAGCAAACAGTTTTCATAATTTTTTCTTCGATGTGTGAAACCCACTTATGCTAGGAACTGAACTAGCAATATTTTTCCATTCTGGACTAGTATAAAACTGGTATATTTCGTAGAGGAAATAGACAATGCCACCATTATGTTAAAAAAGAACTGCAGCTTTTGCAAAAAGTAAAGTTTGCCGTATTTTTTAATCTAGGGTTTCAACTATGACACGGTCTTGATTTGTTGCTACCGATTTTCCAGAAAAAAAATTTAAAAGGCTTTGAAAAAAAAAATTGCCCCTTTTCTATATAAATTTTTATTTTTAATTCATATTATATTATTTCTGTTTTTATCAGCAAACTGAAGGACATGTACTCAATGCCATTTTCTGCCAATTATCAACCACGAATTTCACACCGAAACAAAATCAATAGTTAATGCGCGTAGATAAGAGACTTGTTTGGCCCTTTTCTGTTAAGCAACAAAGTGTGAATACATTTTTTTATCAATCATATCCATCATAAATTACGTTATCTACAAATAATAAGCCACTATCTATTGACGTATAGAGATAAGAATTTTTATCAAACAATTATTTTTAATGATTTCTAGGTTACAATTGAATAAACTACTTCAAAAACAGTTTAAAAAAAAAAATAATTATATTTAAATTGTATTTAACAAAAAATAATGGTAAAAGTATGCTCACTATATCTTTTACTCATATTCTCGATTTAATGTCATTATTATTTAGCAGTAATTATTTTTATTATTATTAACCTTATGAAATCGCTGTAGCCGAGTACGTAGCATTGTGTAGTAACATTCCAAGCGCTGGTCCGACCATTACCCAAAATTTTTGAAAATAGATTTTTCTAACTTCGGACCCCACTCGGCAGCGAATGTTAAGTGTATTTCTAATATGAAATAATAGCTCCTCACGAAAAAGAAAATTGCAGCCGTTTTTAGGTGGCTTAAAATAAACTAAGGGTCCCAAATTAGAGCAGGAGCTTGGCTGAAAATCGCTTCAGCGTTTACAAAGCGCCAATCATATCATCAATTATCAAGCTAACTGCTTTTAAATCTTTTAGAATTTAATAACACCGTCTTCTACTTAAATCATCGATTTATTGTTATTATTATTTTGCAATAATTATTTGAATTTTAATATTATTGTCTTTTTAAAAACATTATTTTCAAGTCGAAATACTTTTTAAGATTGTAAGTATCTTACTTTAGCTGCATTGCACTTCAGATTAAATGTAGGCAATGCTATTCGGCGTACTTATTCATAACAGCATATTTCGTTGCCTGCATTTAGGCGTATTTATATAAAATTTAAAATAATTTATATTTAGCATAGAAATTTTGGAGTCATTAAAAAGAACTTTTTGACACGATTGCAGTTTTTTTTAGATTCAGGTGTAACATCGCTTCAAAATAAAAATATTGTAATAATGGCTTTGAAATCAAGTAGCGTAGACATCGCAAATTAGTCGAATCGATTTATTCACAGAAATTATGCCAACCAGGTAAACAACTGAAGGTGCGACGTTAGACCGGGTGTTTTTATCTTTACAGCATTGAGTTCAAAAAGGATTTTCCTAATGTCGTTTTTGAACTAAAATCTAAAAACTAAATTCCAAAACTTATTTTAACAGACATCAGTTTTAAGCCAGCCATGAAATTAAGTAGAAAAAAATCTAATCTCAGAAATTAACATTATACGGAACAATTTTGGTCTATTTGAATAAAAAAAATGTGGCAGTAATATTTTTCAAATTATTTCTTAAGCAATGAAATGGTTTTAAAAATTCTCTGTGGATATTGAAACTATGCCTTGTAAAATAATTTGTTAACAATAAAATATGTTTGTATTTTCTACTTACAACGCAAGCCTTAATAGACTTCCAAAAGTTCCTCGCAAAGTCTTCAATCTTGCCGCTTTTTCTTTGAATCCTTATGCCCTTGTTAGTGTGCTTCCGTTTGACCCGAGCAAACGAAAATTGTTGAATGAAATTATATTTATTTTTATATTTTGTTATAATTTTTCGTTACTTTGATTTAAGTGAGCAAAAAAAAAAGGAAGTGAAGACACGAAGTTTTGCAAGAATATGCACAATATTTTTTATTTAATTCTTTTACTGTCAATCAAATTTTTTCTTCAACTTTTTGCGCACGTTTCCAAAGTTCCCCGCAAAATTCTCAACACGTTTAAGCAATCTTAGCACAAACACACCTTAGCTGATGCTGACAAAACGCGCACTCGCCTCAAACGAACGATTAACCGCTGACCGATTGTAGTAGTTGTAGTTATGAATTAGACGAAAATAAAAATCGACGCTCAACAGTCACATTGCTTAATTTATTTTAGGTTATGCGCAGTTTGAAATTATAAGCACACTACGAGAAAATTCGATGCGCATAAATATATAAAACGCTTAAACGAAGTAAAGCGATATTTTGATATTTTAATGTTACCGATTAACGATATTTATGGGAATTATGAAAATTAATATATCCGAAGACGCACTGTTAACTTGGTAGCTTATGTATAAAGCCTTATTGCTCTTAGCTGATTTTAAAAGCACTTAATTTGAGTTATTGCCAACACAATGCTTGGTTTATCGATACTTCTTAGATGTTTATCGATTTTCAGCGATCCATTAAATGCTCATAAGACACATTTGTTTTACACAGTTTGAGAATGAGCACTAATTTGAGTATATTTAGCGTAAAAATCAACTAATTTGCTTTACTTTTAGTCGAATCAAATGTAGGTTTTACACTTTCAGTCGCTTTAGCGTCCCACTCACACCTGTTTATCACTTGATCGTGCACTCTCTACGCAGCGTTTACTTTAGCTTGATTTTTTTCTTAACTTTATACTGACGATTACGTTGATCTATGGCAAAATCATATCGCGATCTCTGCACATTTTCGCTAATCAAATTGTTGTCGTGCGTACCGAATAAACGGAAAACTTTTAGCGAATACGTTGTGACAAAAGTTATGCAGCCAGTTGGGAAGAAGTCACCACGGCACGGCGTGTAACCTCTAAAGGATCTGCAAGCCAAAAATGTGCGCTTTGTTGGCGCTCTTTGCAGCTCTTGGCGATTGAACGGAGTATCGCCAGAGGATAACGTTGATAGCGTGACTCAAGTACGACGCCAACGAGTATGCTTCCGCACCGTTGTCAAGCGATTAAATAATCACGCGTTTGGTATGCGCTGGCTAGCTAATAGCTTTAGTATAACGTAGGAATCGCTTTCAGGTTGTTGCCGGCTAAATGCTGTAGATCAAAGTGTCTTACTTGCTGCTAACAGTATTGCGTTTTATGTACTAAACTGCTTTGGCTGTAGCGCAGCCGAATTGAGGGCGTAGTTGCAAGCGACTCGGTTTGAGTACGCAGTTGGCGTAGTGGCTATTCACTCGGCTTATCGGCTTGTAAAAATTTTCGGAAATGCAATTCAAACTCTTCACACTGGTACTGGCCAGCGTTCACACAAAGCAGTTGTCGTATTTTCCCAGAAAAATTGCAAGACAACACCGTAACAGCGTGAAGTTTTTCTGCTTTTTTACTTTTTTGTGTAGCCAACTTTTAGGCTCTGAAGCGTCAGACCACGACTCGACTTCTCCTCGTTTGTGCTATCAGCTGCTCTCTCCCTCTCTCTCTCTCGCTCTCAGCCTCGCTGCCTCCTTTCGTTGTCCACCCACTCTGCTCGAACGCAAGCGTAAACCTTTTGCACGCTGCTCGCCCTCTTTCCCTCTCTTTCACTCTCTCTCTCTCTCTATCGCACACACAAATATACTGCTTCTTTTTTTTGCTCCTACCACTCGCTCGCTTCCTTACACAGCGGCGCGCTAACTCCGCGTACTCGCCTACGAAGTGTTTTTCAATGTGTTTAGCGTTTACTTGTATGTGTTTGTGTGTTTATGTGAGTATGTGCGTGTAGTGAGTGTGAGTGAGTATTCCTTTGTTTTAAGTTATATAGTAATTTTTGTTGTTGTTTCTGTGTTGCACTCGTTTCGCGTTTGTTATCGCGACTCGGTTAGACTCGTCTCTGCTAAGCTGGCTCGGCGGCAATAAACAATCTACGGCTGTTTGAGGAAATGTGTCGACACCAGCCGATATCTTAGCATGGGGGGTTTGTTGTGTGCGGTGTTGGGGGTGGGTGTGTGTGTGTAGGTGTCTCCCGACTTTGGTTGCGTGTATTTACGCTAGTTTACAACAGTTTTTCACACACATATTAAATGTTTAAATTTTCGTTTTTACACACACAACTCGGCGGCTGCTGAGAATTATCGTTGAATGAAGTTTTACAATTTAAAGGGTTGGAATATGCTCAGAGTTTTTAAGGTGTGCACAATTATTTGGCACCTTTTCAGCTCTCTATTAAAATATGTATTTTTTTCTTGGATTTGAATAGTTAGTTCATTAAGTCATTTATACCAATCAATAGCGATGTATTTGAAAAAGTATTTTATGCTGAATTTAAGTTAATAATTTCAAGTCTCGACGCTTCGCTTTTTATGTGGATTTTTCTGTAAAATTTTAAGAAAATAAATAAATTTTATTATTTTATAGAATATAGATATATATTTTAAATATTATAAAGTAACTTTGCAATCAAACAGAATTTTTAATTTAAAAACTTAAATTAAAATGGAACCAATTGACGATTTATGGCAGTTGATCACATTGATTAAAAAACAAATTTTCTTCCCTTAACTAGTAGTAAAAATGTCTACAAATACGTTGCTTTCTATTTTGGACTTTTGATAACTTTTAAGAATATACATATATATGTATATATACATATGTACAGAATTACAATATTAAGAATATGCAATTATGAGATTTCAAAGCTGTAACAAGCACGGAGCTTGTAGGTGTTGCTTAGCTCTAGGAATTTTTTTAGCCAATAGTGGGTTTTACGGGGCATCATGTTCGTTAAGAAGTAAAAAATTCTTTTTATTTTATTTATTTTTATTGTTTTTCTTTTATATTATTCTAAGTTTGAAGTAGTCGAATTAATTATATATTTTCATTATTTAAAGCTACTGTAGGTTAATGTAATAAAATATAATATTGATAATTAAGTATATTATATTTTTTATTATTATCTTTCATTTAATTTATTTTATTTAATCCTAGTTTATATTATTCAATTTGATTTAATTTGGAATAATTATTCTTAAATTAAATTAATTACATTTAAATTACATCATTTTAATTTAAATAAATTTTATAAGTTTTTTTTTTGACATTCTGTTTCATTTTTTTTTTTAATTAGCTTTATTTCATTTACTAATGTTTTATGTTGTTATTTTTATGGCTTATTTCATTTCATTGAAAATTATTTTGTTTCATTTAATTCAATTTTATTTTACTTAATTTTTCTTTTATTTAATTTAATTGAATTTATTTTATTTTATTTTACTGTATTTTGTTTTATTGCATTTTATTAATAAATGTATTAATTTTGTTATACGTTTTACTTTTTATCAATTTTGTTTACTTTATGTAATATATTTTTAATTTTATTTTATTTTAATTAAGTTTATTTTATTTTTTGTCTTATTTGCCTTTATCGTTTTTATTATATATTATTTTCTTTTATTCTATTTAATTATTTCAGTTAATTCCATTTTTCTGAATTTAGATCTATTTTGTTTTATTTTTAATAATTTCAATCAACTTCAATTTATTTTACTTTTATTTCAATTCACTTTTAGTCTTTTATATTTTTATTTTACTGAATATATTTTTTTACATTATTTTATTGTATTTAATTTTTTATTTTATTTATATTGTTTTATTTTATATTATTTTATCCTACATTATTTTATTTTATATTATTTCATTTAATTTTTTTTTAATTTCTTTTATTTTTCTATATTTTATTTTATTTTTTTTGTTTTTTTTTTTTACTGTATTTTATTTCATTTAATTTAAAATAGTTTAGTTCATATTAGTTTAATCTTACTTTTAATCATTTTAGTCTATTTTACTTTATTTTAATTTTATTTCACTTTATTTTATTTTAATTGACATTACTTTATCCTATATTATTTTTTTATATTATTTTACTGTATTTTTTATTTAATTTCAAATTATCTTAGTTTTAATTTATCTCATTTGTAATAATATGTTATTATATTTTATTTCTAATAATATTAGTTTTTTGAATTTATTTATTACTTTTTTTCAATTTACTTTAAAATATTAGTTTTTCATTTAATTTTTTCATATTATTAATTATTATTTTTTATTATTTTGTTTAATTTCTTTTTCTTATTTTGTTATTTTAATTTAAATTTTATTAATTTTATTTTTATTTTATTTATTCCATTTACCTTAATTTTTTTTCATAATTTTATTTTTTTAATTTTTAATTTATGCGATTATAATTTTTCAACTTTATTTTCTTTAGTTTAATTGAATTTGTTTAATTTTTTAAATGTTCTTTAACTTATTTCTTCTTTATTTCATTTTAATTCAGTTTTATTTTTTCTTTACTTTTATTTAACTCAAATAATTTCTTTTAATTTAGTTGAATTTTCCTCATTTAAATTTTTTTTTTTTAATTTTTATACTTTAATTTATTTAACTTAATTTTATACAAAAGCCAAATTTTTGCAAACATAATGCCATTTTCATAATTTTCACAAAATTGCCTCACATCTGCTCGCCGAAAGCAAAAATCAATAAATCTTCTCCGGCTACGGCTGAATGAAAATTTCTTTATCACGAATTCCATGTGCTGCAACTTTTCTTATTCGCGAAATATGCCGCTCAGAAAGATTGAAAGTATCAGAGAACGTTTTCATTTATCAAATTATTAGTGCTAATCTAAAAAAAAGTTACACCAAAATTAGTTCTGCCAACCGCCCCCTACTGTCATCCTATATTTTTCACGAGTATATACATAAATATATATTTATATGTATGCATAATTTACTTTTCTAAACTTACCACATTTGATAAATATGTACATGTTTACATATGTATATTAGTTAATGAATATATAAATAAGCCACAATGCACAGCTTTACTTTAATATATACATATGTGGCTGTGTGTGTGTGTGTTGATGTGTTACAATTAGTAAAACCAGAAAAAACACACACACAATTAGAAATAGAAAAATACTCTTCCCACTATATGTACATGTGTACATATATACATAGATAGCACTTTTTGAAATACACCGCGTTTAGTTGTCACTTGTTTGTCGTCGCCACTCTCGTCCGATTCACGTTGTGTCATTCGAAAGACGCAATTTCTATCTGCCGCTAAGGCATGTAACCAAAAGCTGAAAGAGCGATGATGGCAGTGTGAACTCAGTGCGAGCATAGAGCAATCAAGCAAAACGACCAACCGAAAGACCGACAGACCGACCTACAGAGACCAAAAACTCATAAAAGACCCACATTGTTGTTGTGTTTTGAAAATAAATAAAAATAAAAAAATGTATTCATTGTTCGTTTTGCTGGGCGATGATGGCATGAGATGTAAATATTGTAAACGAGTTTGTACTATGGCCGCTTTGGTGTCTCTTGCTTACACTGCCACCGGCAAGAGCGAGTGTTGCAAGTCAACAGATTTGAGCGTACACTCTTATATGAACTACTCATAACCATTGCCATCGTGGTGGTGCTGTTGGTGGTGGTCTTCGTCTAGCTAGGTAGTTTACTCACATTTCTCTCACGTTAAGCACGTTGCCATTTGGCGCTCTATTCCACATAGTCGTTGGCAGTTCGTGGTTTATAGTGGCATATGCACTTAAGCACAGTCATTGAACGGGTAGTGTTGCCAAATTGAGAAAAATTTTATCAAAATGTATAATTTAATTTAGTAAAATATATAATTATTAAAATAAAACCACTTTAATTTAAATTTTCTTAATTTTCATTTTTAATCATTTTTTCAGCAAAAACAAAATTTCATGTTTCGTTGCGGTTCAGTAGACATTTTTCTAAATAATCGGGACACCTTCCCCAAAATTGAAACAGACTAATCTGAAAATAAAATAGATTTTTTAAAATGCCTTGAGCTGAACGAAGCGCTCGGAAGAAAAGCGGAAAGAGAAAATAACATTTCTGAGGGAAAAGTAAACCAAATTGGCAGTAAGATTCAAATGCTCGCATGCAGTATTTGCTAGCGTAAGATGATCACCTTTTTTTAGCATAGGAAATTCGTGATTTACTTTGAATACTGCAGGGAGACGAATTCTGGGGGTCTTTAACCCACTGAAAAGGAGCAGCCAAATGGAGAACCTTCCTTGCAAATACAACTTTTTGGGGAATTTTGATTATTTGACTCATAACTGACAGTCACTATTACATAAGTCTATACTTGTGAGTACAAAAATATTTAACCTACCTAACATTGTAAATAAAATTCAGTTTAAACGAAATAATTATCTAAATAAGAAAAGAAAATCAAGTAGAGAAGCGACGGCGATAACGATGTCTGAACGCCGACTAACTAGAGATAGTTCATCGTAATCTCTAAGGTACAAGATAGGCGATAACGTTGACATATCTCAGCGAAATATAAGACGGTGGATATGTCAAAGCATTTGTGTAGGTAATAATACTTCGGCCTTGAAGGAATCAATCCAATAGACGCCAGTGAAAGTAGAGGAAAAGGAAGGCCTTCACTTCTTCTGGAGGTTAGTGAAGGACCTGACTTTACTTTGTGTATTCTACTGATGTTATGAGACAATATAAAAAAATTATAGTGGATTCCAACACAACTCACTTACCAAGCTGTTAAAAAACTAGCAGCTAGAGTTGTTGGTTTATAATGAATCGAATAATACAACAATAGAATATATGGCTGATGTTGGCGCATTGATAAAACGCCTGTTAAGTCAGGATCCGTTGGTTCGATCCCTGCCATAAGAAGTCTGATGAGAAGATGTGGTGATCTCCGAAACAGCTGTTACTTCTACCATTTTTCTTTGTTGCATAACAAAAATTTTCAATTTTTACAAACAACCATGCCTTGTAGTTTACTTAATACTCATATCAAAAATTATTATATAGCATGGCCGCAAAAACAAATTATAAAGAACTAACTTTGCCAGTGGAACCGGTTCTAAGTACTAAATAATCGTATCAGCGCGAGCTGCAACTCTTATAGCTACAAGCTAGCATGGCATCAAGGGTCGCAATAGTTTATCGGTTATCCGATGCTCATTGTAAAGAATTAAACAGAAAATTCTGAAGTGGAATACCTATTTTCGTATGTGATCTCCAACTCACAATTCGGCAACCCTGACTCTACTAGTTGCAGCTACTATGGGAGTTCATGTTGTTATCCGCCATGTGGCTTGTTGTTTTTGCACGTGTAAAGCGGTGAGTAAGCGCCCTTGTTCTCGCAACAATGGTACAAACGCACGCACACAAGCACAACTCCATCAAAAAAATTAGTGGAAAATTTCCAAAAATTTACATACGTACAAGCATAGATATATGAGTACTATAAAATAGTGACGCTATGAATGAGTTGTTGTAATGCGACTTCGATACTTCAGTGGAGTTATGAATGTACCAACTACATATTGAAGTGTACGGTGAGTAGCAAAGATATGCTATGTGTGAGAGTAACATGTACATATACTCCTTTCTCAACTCCAAAGAGGCATAACGTATCTCTCGCATTCGCTGTATTTATGCTTAGCTCTCTCGCGGCGTTGTTGCGCACTCAAAATAGCGCAATATTGTATGCGCGGTCCCGTTATGTTGCAAGGCCGTTTGAATGTTATACTCAGCACTACATACATGTTGAAAAAAAAAATCCATAAATTTGTATACATAATACATATGTTTCCCTATGAACTCTATAAGCACAAAAATCTAGAAATTTCTATACAAGTCGCTGTTACAGTTTAAGGGAGTGTATGTATGTATGCAACTTACTATATTGTTAACTCCAGTCCACTGTCACGTACTGAGGCAATCCCACTCTCTCTCTCGCTCCTCTCTGTATCTCTTTGAATTTGTTATGCTGCCTTCATTTTAATCCGTTATGCCACATGCCACTGGGTAATGCTGATTGGTCAATTTGATGGGTGTGTTACGGAGTGCCTTGCGAGTGAATTGCGAATTGCCGGCTAAATGACTGATGCAGCAAAAATCTGCAATGCCTGTAGAGGTATGTATGTAGGTATGTGAGCGTAAGATACTCTCGTTGCACTTGTTTGTTCTCTAGCGGCTGCTGTTGTTCGAGTAATTTTATTGTATCGTTTTTTGTTTTTTTCTCCTTCTTCGTCTTTTTCTCCCTTAATCGTTTAATTGTTGATTTCACTGAAAAACTTTGCTGATTCGTAGATTTTCGATCGTAAACTTTATGATTTCCTTTTCATTGCTTTTTTTTACTTTTTAATGTTTATATGATTTATTTGATGAGCGGTGCTGCTGAAATAGTGAGGATTCAGCTGCAATTAAATTAACAAAAAATGCAATTAAATTTTAATTATTTTCTTTTTTGAGAAATATGAATAAAAGTTGTGTAATTATTTAATAAATTAATTTATTTTTTTATTTTATTTCATTTTTTTATTGAAATTTTGTATACATACATACATTTTTAAATATTAAGAGTCAGCTGTATATTCTTATGTATGTACATTTGTCTGTATTTATCATTAAATAAAAAATATATCCGGAGTAAAATTCAGTTTTATTAACAAAGCCATATTTGTTTGTACACTTGTTAGTATCGATAACATATCGAAGTGTCAGATTGCAGTCTTACTGAGACATGTGTAACTTACATAAGTGAATATTTATGTACATATGTATGTTCATGTTGCTGTTGAAAAGTAGAAAATATTTTTTTCTCCGAAATAGCTTTGTATTGCATTTTAAAGCTTTCATATATGTATATATATATACGATATTTGTAATATTCAGTATTTAAACTATTTCATATACAAGCTAAAAAAAATTAAAATTTAATAAAAAAATTCATAATATTTAATGAATTTTTTAACTGCTAAAATGATTTTTTCTTTGATCAGCAAAGCTGAAAATTTCTAAAAAAAAAAAAAATTAAAAAAAAAATGTTGTTTGTGATTAAAAAATTTTCCCACAACAACTTCGCCTGCTTCAAAACACCAACTTACTTGTTTAAGTATAAATAAATATATGTATATAAAATATAATATAAAAAATTTAAATTAAAATTCTGTTAAAGCAAAATATTTCTTTTTGTATTGAAAATTTTTTTTTTTTTTTTTTTCAATAAAACCGCTAAATTATGAATTAGCATCCTTTTACTCGTACTATCGCCGGGCTGATTGCGGCATAATAGTTTTAAAGAATTTGTAATCGAATTTCAGCGTATTATTTAATCGACAACACTTTCAAATAAAAATAAAAAAACGAAAACTAAATTCAATATTCGTTCTAGCGCTTCTACCTCAAATTAAAAAAAAAAAATTAACACAACCATGCAAATTTATGCACACATGCACAGTATGAGTGTAAAAAATGTAAATAATACATATATAATGTACACAACATTTTTTACTGCCGAAATTATATCCAAATGAAAAATGTCTGTTGAATCGTATTTCGTATTCCAGGGAATAATAAATTAGGTACATAACACACATATGTTTGTATATGAGTAAGTAATACACATACAATAGCCTGAAGACTTTTACATTAATGTGGCATAAAGAAATTTTTTTCTTTAGAATAAAAACGATTTTGATTTTGCTGTAGATGGCAAGCAAACTCCGAATTATCACGTTAGGAAAAATTCAAAAAAACTCTGTTTTAAATTGCAAGAAGCCAAAAATTAAAACATGGCTTTCAAAAAACTTTTAAAGTGCAAGATATCAATAAATATTAAGTTTTTAACAAAAAATAGTTTTTTAGACATATTGACTTAAATTTTCTTTTCTTAAGAATATTGTTTTTTTAAAAAATATTTATAAAATTTTTCATTTATTTATTTCACATTTAACTATTTCCTTTTTTTGCATTTGAGAGGCTAAGAATTAAGTAGATACTAGAAATGTATTGTTGGAAACTCAATATGGATAAATGGAAAAAAAGTTTTGAAATATCCAGCAGTTTTTTCTCAAAAATTTTTTTTTTTATTTTTTAATGAATTGTTTTTGTAAATTTTAGGAAATTTCTTCGTGAATAAAAAAATCAAAAAGCAATATAATTTTATGGAATTATTTCTTGTGCGAAAAAAAGTATGTGCCTAAAATCGAATAACATCAGTTTTTTTATTATAGACCTCACATACACGTATGTCCATATCTACAAATATTTGCATGGATTTTCCCTAGCACACATTGGTTTACATTAATTTCTCATAAATTCCATAATTTCCGTGAATTTTTACAAAAATAGGACAGTATAATAAACTCAAACGGTAACAAAATTTAATTTAATTTATTTTATTTTATATTAATTTTAATTTAATTTTTGTCTTTAATTTCATTTATTTTTAATTTAATTTTTATTTTTTTTATTTTGATTGACTGTAATGTTTTTTTTTTATTTTCGATTTTTTTTTTCATTTTTTTCTTTTATTTTTTTGTTTCAATTTTCATATGTACATGTACTAGAGTTCAAGATTGTTCATTGTCCGAAAATTTTCGAGCTTGCGCTCGAGCAATTCTAGCTATTTCGTACATTTTTGAGCATTTTTATTAAAAAAAAAATTGGACTTTTTTCCAGAACATTCTTTTTATAATTGTAATTTTATTAATGCAAAGTGTATAACCCATTGAAAAACTAAAGATATTTTGACAAACAAAATTGAATTTTGAAATATTTAAAACTATCATTTCAGCAGGTGAGCAACGAACGAGTATGGAGCTGTAATATTTACATAAGTACATAAAAAAGGCTTTGTTTTGAATGACTAATGGATCAACTCACAGTCTGAACACTAATCATAGAGATCTGCCTAAAATGTAGGCAACCGATAAGACAAGATTTTCCACGAAGTGAGCCGATGTATTCGAAAAAATCGCTTTTACTTTTAAATCATTTGATTTACATGCAATTTAATATAGAGATAACCTTTGACCTCAATTTACGTGGGCAGTATTTTTTCTTCGCGGGATAAATCTGTTCATGGTTCGATTCCACTTGTTTGATTTTTGAATCATTGATAGCTCTTTGCCTATGTTAAAATTTAAATAATCTTTCTTTTCGGGATATCGTCGGCATAATTCGGAAACTCGGAACATAGTTAGCTCTCTGCTTTTATTTTCGGGTAAGGTACTATAAGAAAAAAAGTCGTATTTTGGTTCAATTTTCCTAAAATTCGGAAACTAATTTGTCTGAGGCTAGATACCGATCTATTCGAAAGTATAGTATTTGTGGCTGATTTGTCCGATATTTCGAAAATAGATAGCTTTTGGCCTATATTAATATATAAATAGCTTATATTTTCGATACATTTACAAAACCTTAGTTTTAAGCTTGTTTCGCATGATATTTGGAGAATTAAAAATTAAATCTTCTAGTATTTTAATATTTTAATATAATTATCGAAGTAGCGGCGAAAAGTCCAGTTTATAATATTTGTCTGCTTCATTTTCCCTTCTCTCATTTCAATTCTATTAATTTACTTTTTTAATTTATTTTTTGATTTACTTTATTTATTTTGATTTATTATATTTTTAGTTAATCTTTAATACTATATTTGTTTATTTTATTAATTTGTTCATTTCAATACTATTTTTTAATTTTTGATTTACTCCTTTTGATTTGATTTTTGTTCTTTTTTACTTATATTTATTACTATGATATATTTTAATTTTTTATTTTGCTTAATTTTTATTACTTAATTTCTTCGTTTTCTTTTACATTATTCTATTCCAACTAGTTATTATTATTATTATTTTTTTTTATTTTGTATTATTTCATTCAATTTGATACTTTTTATTTTATTTTTTATTTGGTTCAACCTAATTTTTTCTCCTTCTTTTACTTTAATTTATTCCAAATAATTATTATTTTTTCTTTTATTTATTTTATTTTATTTTATTTTGTTTTATTTTATTTTATTTTGTTTTATTTTATTTTATTTTGTTTTATTTTATTTTATTTTGTTTTATTTTATTTTATTTTGTTTTAGTTTATTTTATTTTGTTTTATTTTATTTTATTTTGTTTTATTTTAATTTATTTTGTTTTATTTAATTCAACTTTCTATTATACTTTTTATGTTTTTATTTGATTTAGTTTAATTTTATTTTCCGTTTATTAAATTTTTGTATTGCCTTTTGTTTTATTTAAAATTTTATTTTAAGTTTTATATTACTATATTTTATTTTGTTTCGTTTAATTTATTTTTTTTATTTTTATTATATTTTATTTTTGTTTATTTTAGTTAGCTTTATTTGACTTTACTGTTTTAAATTTTTACTTTTGTTTAATATTTATTATATTTTGGTTTTTTATTTTTTAATTCTTTTTTCATTTAATTAGAATTTCATTATTTACATTTCATTATTGAGATTACTACCCATATTTCCATATCGTGAGTAATCATTTTATATTTAAATCCTTATACCAATGAAATTAGCACTTGAAATCAGTTTACGCTTAAAAGCTGTAGAAAAATATCGCCTTTCCCTCAAAGCAGCTGTTGATAAATAAAAAATATTCTTTTACTCATTTTCATTAGGTAGAAGAAGGCTACAAAGCAGCAATGCAATTAAAATACAATAAATTGAACTCATATCCCAATCTAAATATTTATTACTCAGAGCAAAATATGTTACTCAACCGTAAATAAATAATGTTTGTGTATGTGCGCTTGTGTGCTGTGCGGCAGGCACGTGAGTTCAGTTTCTTTGCGGTGCGAAGAAATTGTATACTTTTAAATAGCAATTTACTGTACAAAGTGCAATGGCTGAAAATCAAAGCTAAATAAATAAACAATGGAATGATATGTAGGTATGTACATATGTATATACAATATATTGAGGAGACATGAAATGCAATGGAGGTGCTTGAATTACAAATCAATCGTACAACTTATAACTTAATGCTTGTATGTACATATTTCTGTAAATACCCTGCAGTGAAAGACTGGTATAATACTAGAACTTTAAGGCTGGAATTATACCAGTTCGCTTCTTTTTTTTTTTTGGTAAATCACGACTACTTCATTTTAGCACACCATAGATGAGTTTTATTTTTTAAAAGGTTATTGATTAGAATGGTGTTAGAGATATTCACTCACAGACATGATATTGAGTTTCAGCCACAAACAAAAATGGTTGTTACTCTTCTGAAGTATAATTTAAAATGATCTAGTATGCAACTAATACTAAACTGATGTATAATTGACAATTACCCATTCTGTGGCATCGTCGAATTAAAAACAGCAGTCGCCAATATGGGTAATTGAAGAGCGATTTACAATTACTTTCTTTTCCTGCAGAGCATGTGTG